CAACTTGCCTTAGCTTATTTTTACTTTTGCACTAAACATTCAGAACACGAAGATTATGAAGTATGTTTTAAACTTGGTTAGATGATTATTTTTCATTAAAAAAAAAAAAATAGCCATCTGATTAATTTGAAATGTCATGATGTGGCTATAGCCAAAATTGGGAAACCTGGCCCATGTGATGGATGTGTCATTTTCAAAATGGTGCTTCAAAAAAGTTTATTTAAAAAAAAAAAAAAGTCCCTTTACACGTACAGAGAACTGATGTAAGAACATTTTTTACCCCTTAGATAGGAGAAGTTGCAGAAATAGAAGATCCCTGTAGACCTTAGTGTGAAGAAGAAGCAGAGAACAGCATTTTTAGTATCCTTAGAACATGCAGGGGGAAAGACTTCAATAAAACAGAAGAACTTTTGAAAACACCAACTCTGCAGAGCTTTAATAGCAGTTAAAACATCTGCTTGCAGTCTCAGCAGCCACTTTTTTTGGGTCATTATTGTAGCTCTGGTAGCATAGTGGTTACAAATTGGGTTGCTAATCTCATGGTCAACAGTTCGAAACTACCAGCTGTTCCACAGGAGAAAGATGAGGCTTTCTGCTTCCACAAAGATTTATAGCCCAGAAACCCTATACAGGGTCACTATGAGTTGCAACAGACTCCATGGCACAAAACAATAACATTATTGTAGGTATACCTATCACACAACTTGCCAATTCAACTTTTTATAGGTGTACAACTAGACAGCAATCATAATAGTTACTCAAACAACCTCAATCAATGCAATTTTTCCATCACTTTTAACCCTGCTTTTCCCCTTCCTTCCTGACCTTGGTGACCATAAATAAACTTTGGTATCCGTATATTTGCCTTTTATTTTTTCTTTTAAGTGAGGTCATACAATATTTGTCTTTTGCAATTGGCTTATTTTGCTTGTCTTATCTTCAAGTTCCATCCACACTTAGCATGTATCAAGACCTCATTTCTCCTGGGATTTGGATCTTGATTAGGTTTAGGATCATGTGTTCACGGGACACCACAATTAATTGTCCTAATAATGTGGTTAGTGCATCTGTTCTACTTCCTAGTTCCTTGATTAGTGCATGCAGTCTTAAAAGCTTGCAAGAAACTATCTAAGGCATAACAATTGGTCTCTATTCACTTGGAGCAACAAAGGAAGGCGAATCAGGAATGGGAAGAGAAAATGGAACGTGTGGCCAATTGCCTCCATGAACAACTACCTCCTTTGCCATTGAGACCAGAAGAAGTGGATGGTACTTGGCTACCATCACTAATCATTCTGAACAAAGATTCCATAGGAGAAGCTTGATAAAAAGGGAGACACTGCAAAACAGAATTTTAAATTCTCATGGACCCCACACTTTGTGTAGACATGGAGGGCAGATAAACTACTGAAACAGTTGCCCTGAAATAATCTTTAATCCTTAAACCAAAAATAGTCCCTGAAGTATCTTTAAAAAGATCTGCCTTTAGCAGTATATTCTTTTAAGAACTCTATGTGATCAAATTGACAGCAACAACTCAAAGATTATAGGAGCCTTAGTGAATTTATATTAATGAGGCAGAAGAACTCAGAAAAAAAGGGCAAGAATGGTTGTACAACTCGAAGAATGTAATTAAAATCACCAAGTTGTACATGCAGAAACTCTTGTATTGGTGTATGTTTTGCATTGGACTGTGAACAGTTTGGCAGTTCAAATGCACCATTTTGCAGGAGAAAGATGAGGCAGCCGGCTTCCATAAAGATTTATAGTTTCAGAAAACCTATGGGGTAGTTCTACTCTATTACAATTTTCTCAACAACAAAACAAAATTTGTTGTTGTTGTTAGGCGCCATTGAGTCAGTACCAACTCATAGTGACCCTATGCACAACAGAATGAAACATTGCCTGGTCCTGTGCCAACTTCACAATTGTTGCCACGCTTGAGCCCATTGATGCTGCCACATTGCCAACCCATCTCGCTGGGGGTCTTCCTCTTTTTCTCTGACCCTCCTCCTTACCAAACATGACATCCTTCTACAGTGACTGGTCCCTCCTGATAAATTAAGAAGGAAAAAAATCTGCTAGCTTGGTCTCAGTCAGGAGTAGCAGTCCCAGCCTCCTTGGAAGCTATCATTTAGAACAAAACATTTAAAATGTTACAATCCCCCAATGAAGCCTAAAGTGAAGAAAAGCACCTTTATTACAATGTATTTCTACAGTTCATGCCTTCTAAACTATTTTGAGTCATAGGTGCAGATACATATGTAGACAGTATCGATTCTCATTTTAAGAAACTTATTTATACCATTTAGATACATTTACTATGTGTAACTGTCTAAATTGTGGAAATACACACTCTAGCTTTCTACAGAACATAATGCCTTTATGTTTAGAATTAAACAGAACATCAAAACTATCTTCCTTTATGGAAGTGGTGCTGTGGGCTAATGTGCTGGACTGCAAGGTTGGTTTGAACTGCAAGGTTGGCGGTTCAAACTCACCAGCTGCTCCTTGGAAACCCTATACAGGGTCACTACGACTCGATGGCACTTAACCACAAAAACAACTATCTTCCTTTAAGAGCTGCTGTTGTTCTATCTTAAATTCACTCAGATTTTCTTGGATTCCCTCAGGCTGATCCCTCAACACCTCAGAAGGATCCTGTAAAAAAATACCCTTTTATGACATTTCTGTCAAGGAAACTTACTTTATCATATTATACCTTTTAGAGATAATAATGAAGACATTCCTAAATAATCATCCCACCAATTAGCAAAATATTATTTTAGCTTATAAATATCTGTTATAATGCTTTCACTCTGGCCTACTGATTTAAGCCCTTAAGGATATCTTCTTCCTGTGGACTGTGTATGTGTACTGATAGCCCAGGTGAAAAGGGGAAGAGATAGGAAAGTGTCATCTCTAAAATCTGTCATTGAGGACTGACCTTCATATTTGGAGACATTTTTAGAGCTGCGATCTTTTCTAATATTGAACTGTGGGGATGAGGAGTACCATGCTTGTCCAGGTGATCCAGTCCCTCTTTTGAGCATAAATCAATGACACCAGTAAAAAACAAATATTCAGACTTTGGTCCCCTTCTTTTATAGGTTTTACTTACAACCTGTAAGAGATCCGTATGCCCTTCCACAATATCTTTCCAATCTTTTTACTAATAGAGCAATCCAATACACCAGATTCCAATTCCCAAAAGCGCTTTCACCTCTCATAACAATTAGGAGCTGCTAGAAAAAGGTACAGGAAAACAGAGACAGGTGGGCTAAACCCTTAATCTTCTAAAGAAAACAATGTTTTTGAAAGAAAGGTTTCTGTTTTCCTTAAAGCTCCTAATATGAAACACTACTGTCTCAGATAATTGCTTCGACGCTGGAACCCCACATCCCAAATGGCATTAAGGAATTCCATCGATGTGTAATTCCATGCTGTAATGTCCAGGAAGGTGCATTCATTGCAGAGCCAACCAATGACTATGGTGCCTGCAATCAGCCTAAACCTAAGGATCTCTAAGATCTCCTTAAGTAATCGGTACTCATTTAAAAAACAAACTAAGGGAAGGTTTTTCAAAAGCTGTACCTGAATATTTGTTTTGGTATTCTAAAATATCCTAATGACATATAGCTCAATCTAATGAGTGTAAAAGGAAAAATATCCAAGTGGCTGATACATTGTGAAGTGCCTTCAAGTCGATTCTGTCTCATAATGACCTTATAATATGGTTTCCAAGGAGCAGCTGGTGGGTTTGAATCACTGAACTTGTAGTTAGCAGTCCAGTGTTTATCCTTCAGTACCATGCCAGGACTCTAGCATTTGATATAGAAGATATCAATCCTCACTTACAAGACCTTTGGGGAAGATTTTCAATTCACACTGCAGTTATCCTACCCTAGTCAGTATTCACCGCACCAGGTGATTTCAGAAATCCCTCTACAGGGATACAGAAGGACCATAGGGAGAATGGATACCACTGCTGATGATGCAATAGTGCAGAAGGACCTAAGTAGTTCTTGCTAAGGCTCAGCTGAGGTAATTTACAAAAGAGTTAGAAATGTAACTTCCTTTGTAGATGGGGTAGGTCATCTGGGATTCAAAAACGAAAGCAAAAGGATCTGGCATCAGTATAACTTTTTGAAAGTCTCTTTCTCCTCCAGAATTCTAAAGGTGTTCAAATTAGCCCATGGTTGTTGTTGTTAAGTGCCGTCGAGTCAATTCCGACTCATAGCTACCCTGTGCAGGGTTTCCCAGGAGCATCTGGTGGGTTTGCATTTCAGTGCTGATCCTACAGCGCCACATGCCCATGGCTAGATGGACAAATTTTAAGTAATTCTTAGAACATCCCCCATGATTGTTTCTTATGTACTTGACTAGAACACATTAAAAAGGAATGTGGAGTCCAGAAAGAAGTAGGTTATTATGGTAAACATTTCCCTTAGCCCTTACAATCATTGGGTTTGGGGCTATAGAAGTGCTACAATAATCATGTTTTCCAAAAGAAGAGAAGCAAGTTTAGTCACTGAATCCAAGTCCTTTAATGGCATCTAGGCTGAAAGAAAAAAAACCATGACAACAAGAAAACAAACCTCTTTCATGTAAAAAGTTATTAATCTTAAATGAAAGATGTTACCTTCCAAGAAAACAGGAGTAAAAGTTAATTTGTTCAAGTCAGAAACCCAAGGCTGAGGTTTCTAAGGCCCTTTTATTAGGGAAAGGTCATCTTTATATCATAAGACTTCATATCTGTTATCAACAACAATCAGATTGGTTTCTAAAAATTAGGGACAAAAGAGAAAAACCAAACAGATAATACTTTATATATATATATTGAAGATAAAAGAATTTATAAAATGGTCACCTTTCTTACAGAATAAATGCAGACTGCAATATGAATGCACCTCCAGGTTTAAGTTGGTTTTGTTTTGTTTCCCAATAATAAATAAATAAAATTTGTTCATAAGTTTTGGATCGACCTGTAACTCTAAGCATTACTGAGTTTTCTTTCCTTGGTCGCTCCTGTAAGCAGCGTTAGGATGTACAGAGGTTAGCAATCTCACTGGCCCATCAGAGTGTACAGTATCCTTTCGGGGTGGCATCCGCTCATTAATTCGGTCCAGTCCTTGGGCTTCTTGAAAACTCCGGATCTTGTGCTGCAGGGAAAACCCTCTGATGGCTAGAAAGAAACAGGAAAGGAGGGAGGGGACTTCAATCGGGCAGCAAAATGACAAACTTACAAACGTTTTTTTAGCGCACAACAACTTCTTAGAGGAAAACACAGAAAGGTGGCTATGGAGCACATGTCTGGTAAAGATAACAGGCATATAGTTGACTGAATTAGCTTTGTCTGAAACTATCGTTTCATTAGGCTCCAAATCAGCTAAATAGTGAAAGGAATTTCCATAAAAGCTCCATAATGTTAGTCACGGCAGAAGTATACTGACAAACAATAACAAGTCTTACACAGCCTCAATACATTTTAGAAAGAATTTCATTTATGGGCTAGAAACATGCTCTATGCTTTATGAAAAAAGAGGCAACACTGGAATAATAGAATGAGCCAAACACAGCGTAGTTACATGAAAGCACAAACACCACATTAATCACAAAATAACAGAAAGAATTCACAAAAAAGTAACAAAAAACGGTTCAAAAGTACAGTCTTTTTTATCTTGCACAACCAGGAGCTGAACGTAAGTTAAAAGTCATTGAAATAGCTTCTAGGTATTTTCCTACTGATTCAATTTTTATACAGTCAAGGAAAGACATTCACATTTTGAATCACCTTTCCTCACAAGATAATTAGATCTATAACATAGGTTTATCCTTTCAAAAGATTTCATATATAAATTCCAAGATAAGGTGTAACTCAACATAGGTTTCACAGAAACAAAGATAATTTCGCTTGACAGACTCAGAAACAAATCAAACTAAATTCCTATCTATTTTTGCCTTTACTCTGGATATCCTTTTAAATCATTAAAGGCAGACCTGTCTTGTAATCAAATGGATGTCTCTTGCCTGTGGAAGGGATTTAGAATTAAACTACTTGATCCCTCATGACCAGTTGCTTAAGCTTCAGCCACTGCATTCCAACAGATAGAGCCCAGGAAAGAGCCTCGCCCTAGTGAGGGGGCATTGCAATCACTGCCAATACAGTACACAAAGGAAAATACTTGCTTTATGAGAATGCCTAGAAACATCTATGCCTTTTCTCACTGTTACAGTTCTGGTAATGCAATAATAAAAGTTTTCAAATTGTTAAGAAAGCTTTTCCAAACTTGTAGACAGACACAGGAGCACATCTATCAGAGGAATATGGCCATACCTTCCCGGGCCTCTACTGCTTCTACTGTGGCTGTAAGAGGGCAGGAGCAGTGGCATGCAAAAATGAAGACAGAAAAAGAGTGAGTACAACCAACAACACTGCTGCCAGCACAGACTTCCCAGGGACCCCACCTTTCGGCCTATCCTCATCCATAATAAAAATCCACTAGTTACAGAAGTGGGAGGATTATTGCAAGAAACTGGATTGGGGTGGGATAAGAGGTGAGGAGAATTGCTAATATTTCAAACATTTCAGGTGGCCTGGGAATCTTTCAGCTAATATAGCTATAGATAAGACACTGGGCCAGTTTACCTGATTATAAAGAACAAAGACTGATGTTGTTTCCCTTATTTTAAATAGCCAGTTGCCAATTTATATCTTGATACCATTATCAAAATCACTTTTCAAATCAAATAATTTAAGATCACCACTGTTCCTTCATTTATAATAGCTCTGAAAGTATTAAATGAGTCCTATTTTAAAAAAAGAACTTATTTATAACTTTTTAAAAAAGTTTTTATTGTGAATTGAGTGAATTAAAACTACTTCTTATTGCTCTTAAGCACCTTATGTAGGGTCCAACTGTGCTTTTTAATTATTTAAATTCAAAATAAAATCCCCCAATACTAGGCTTGAATAACAGACTGCCATTTGGAAGGAGATAAAAATGGGTCACAAGTGAGGGGTTATTTCTTAGCAAGGGGTGGAGTAGTACACTGGCAAAGGCCTAAAACAATCAAACCAAACCCACTGCGATTCAGATTCACAGCAGCCCTAAGGGACAGGGCAGAGCTGCCCACCTGCGATTTCTAAAGCTGGAATCTTTACAGAAGCACACTGCTACAGCTTTCTGCTGCAGAGTGGCTGGAGGGTTTGAACTGTCAACCTTTCAGTTAGCCATGGCATCACTAGGGCTCCTTGACTATTTAATTCTAGATGCAAATTCATGTGCCATCTGGGCCTAATGATAAAGCAGGGACTGACCTTTCCAACCCAGATGGCTTCCATTCACTTACATGAGAGAGCACACACATTACTAAAAAGGCCCTTTCCTCTCAGTCTGATGGAAAAGGACGCAACTTAAAAATAAACACTAACAGCCCTTTGGACATTTAAAATAATATTTTTTTGTTTTGTAAGTGTTTATCAAATATTTTTTGCCTTGTTCATTGTGAAATATAAGATGCAAATGGGGACCCACAGGGAGGGAGTGGGATAAATGTAGTTCCAGGGAGGGGATTGTAATCATCAAGATGAACAAGGTGTTTCATCTTGCTGCATGTAGAACTGATGATCTTGTCTGTAAACCTTCACCCAATTTACACTAAAAAGTTAAAAATAAAAAAAATAAGCACTGACAAGTAAAACTTCCTTCCATCTTGTTTTTCAGACAGTAAAAATCCTAATGTATGAAAAGGTTACAGGTTGTAGCAAGAAAGATCTCTTAGGAGAAGCATGCCAGTTCCTCTAATACCAATTTTCTAAAAGACGGCAGGGAATAACAAACATTAACAGTTGGCTGTTCCTAGGTTTTATATGTCAACATAAGAGGAGAGAAACTGGAAGAACTCAGAAGTTAACTTCCTAACATAATGTAAAAAGTAGATTCTTGGCATGACCTTATCAACTGCTTACATTTGCCAACCACACATACGTACATATTAAAGCAATGTCACACCCTCTCTAATCTCAAATGGAAAAATACACTTTACAAGAAAACCACAGTGCATTCTGACAGTACATCACAGATGCAACTGTTAGGAAGTGGGAGAACAAAGCACTGCTTGTAACTGTATACAGAGTGTTCACCTAATTAGAGTTTGAAAGCCATGTGGTACAATATGTACTAGCATTGTATTGTTTGGAGCCCCTCCTAGGAATTGCTTTTTGCAATGGGGATGATGATATATATGATATCAGCCCACACTCAGGGACACTACAAAAACAAAACAAAACAAAATCATACAAAACTGAGTGATCTGTTTTTTCTCTTTTTAACATTTTTACAGATATAATTCATATATCCCCAAACTCACCTGCTTACAGTGTACAGTTCAATGGTATATTCATAGAGTTGTGCATCTATCACCATAATCTGTATTTAGAACATTTCCCAACACATCAACAAGAAATCCCCTCCCCGCTAGCTAGCAGTCACCTTCCATCTTCCTCCATTACCTTATGTGCCCTCAACCCTAGTCAGTCATTAATCTCCTTTCTGTCTCTATAGATTAATAGAATCATACAATATATGATCCTTTGTGACAGGGTTCTTTCACTTAGTAAACCCTAGGGAATGATTCTATTCTATGCCTACAGTGTTCATCAGTAGCTAGAATGACTCCAAGGCAAGTAACAAAAACTGGCTAATGACGCTTACAGTCATCTGTATGTCTTCTTTGGAAAAAATGTCTATTTAAATCCGTTATCCATGTTTTCATTAGGTTGTTTCAATTTTTGTTACTCAGGTGTAAAAGTTCTTTATTTATTGTTAATATTAGTTTCTTATTAGATATATTATTTGCAAATATTTTCTCTCATTCTGTGTGTTGTTTTCACTTTCCTGGTGGTACCATTTGCAGCACCTTGATTTGGATGGAGTACAAGTCGAGGCATATAAAATGCTATTAGGACATATGAGATGTTGCTGGTTGAAGGTTCTTTAAGCAAAGTTACATGAGCAATAAAAGCTTTTTCAGCTAGCACTTCAGTATGCCAATGAACCTGTAGAACTGACAATGTGATGTGAAAATAAAATAAACTCCATTTCTGTCTATCAATAACAGACAATATTGCTGTTGTTGTTGCTAACTGCTGCAGAATCAGTTACAATTCATAGCGACCCTGTATAAGGTTTCCGAGGCTTTAAATCTTCGAGGGAGCAGAAAGCCTCATCTTTCTCCTAATGAGTGCTGGCGGGCTTGCACCATGGACCTTGTGGTTCACAGGTCAGTGTTTATCGAAAAGAGCCAAGAGAGAATAAGAGGCTCTACAAGGTTAGCTGCCGCTTTAAATTTCCTTTTTGCACATTCCTAAATATTTCTATAAATTTCTCAAGTACCAATAAACAATATTATATTTATTATAAGCTCATATTTAAATAAGGGATAAAGAGAAACTGGATACATTTGGGACTAAAAACAAAAGGCAGATCAAGAATTAAATCAAACACATCCCCAAATAACACATCTATACAATTCTCTTTGTTACTCATCCAAGATTTGCAAATTTGTAGATTTTTAATTTCAAGATCTAGAAAAAAAAAGATTTTAAAACAACAATTATGTGGATCAACACATTTATAAAACTTTTCAAGTACAAATGCTATAGGACATTTTTTCCCCCTTTACCCAGATTAATGCCTTATTCCAAAATACCTTTGTTGGAGCTGGCATACATTGCCCTCAGAATACCTTATGGCACAAAAGTATTTTGCTTACTAAAAAGTGCACATTTGAAAAAACTCAATCTGAAATAGTTTACTATTCCTTTCTAGGGAACTACAGAAACCAATAAAATAAATTATATACTTCCAACGAGAAAAATGTTCACTCTTCCTTCAAAATATCTAAACTCCAACATTCCAGTACTGGAAGAGGAGAAAGGCAGGAGCAACTCAATTGTATAAGAATGAAAAAATGACATTGTTTCTATTAGTCAACAGCAGTGAAGTTTCCAAAAAAAAGCAAAGGATTCCTGTAAGTGGTAGGATGACATGGAAAAAACCAACAACAGTAGTTTAAAAACAAATAGAAACAAATCAATAAAACAAGGGAGCAAAAAAGTAGTCAATCATTTGTTTAACATACTAGAATTAGTCATCCAATAATAGGAGTTTCAGTCTCTTCTTATTTGACCAGATATACGTTTATTCTTTTTACAAAGAGCAATCTTTTTATTCCGTGGATCTCATTAGAGTCTTCTCCTTAGAAGTCAACTCCTATGTCACTTTAGAACTGATGCTCTATTTGAAGAGTGATCGTGGCACTGGAATAGAATATGGCTGCAGACTATCTCACTGATTGAAAGTTCCAATGACAACATCAAAATGATTTAATTAAAGTATAAAACATATACAAATAAGGCACAAATGTACACACATATGAAGTAACATGTCAAGACATTTTTATATGTATACATACTTTTAATTATAATCCAGATCAAGATATTGAATATTTCCAGCACCCCAGAAGCTCCTTGTGCCCCTCTCCAATCAATATTCATCCACCAGAGAGACCACTACCTGGACTCCTACACCATCGATTAACTTGCCTGATCTTGAGCATCACATAAATTAGACAGTCTGTGCTTTTTTTATGTTTTTAGTTTGTGTTCTCTTATAGATGTACCATCATGCCTATGAGATTCACCTCTATGCTGCTGCATGTATCCATAATGCTTTTTAAACAGCTGAGTGGTATTTCATTGTATAAATACAATACAATTTATCTATTTTTCTATTGATAATCAGTGTGTTTTCCAATTCTGGGCTAGAATGAGCATTCTTATACAAATCCTTTGGTGGATATAGGCACTAATTTTCTCTTGGATAAATCAGGTGTGGTTTTGTTGGGTCATGTGTTTACTTTATTGCCCAAAATGGTCGAACCAATTGACAAGTCCATCAGCATTGTATATGACATTTCCAGTTCTCCACATCCTCATCAACTTTAGGTCGGGTCAGACTTTTACACTTTATCCGTTCCAGTGGGTATGTAGTGCTATCTCACTGTGGTTTTCATAGCCACGTCTCAGATGAGTAACTACATTAAGTACCTTTTCATTTATTTATTGGCCACTTTGATACCCTCTTTTGTGAAGGGTCTTTTGAACTTATTTGTGGCTTGTCTTTTTCCTCTCTTAATCATATATTTTCATGAACAGAAGTTACTAATTTTAATGAAATTCAACTTTTAAGTCTGTTTGTTTGTTTAAGTCAGTACTTTTTATGTCCTGTTTAAAGACTTTTTCCCGGTACCTAGTCTCCAAACTTCCTTTTAGGAATTCTATTGTTTTACATTTTACATGTAAGCTATAATGCATTTTGAATTAATTTTTATAAATATAGAGAAGTAAAAGCCAAAATTCATTTTTCCCCATATGGCTATATGTATCCAGTTATCACTTTCTGAAAAAAAAAAAAAACAAAAAAACAAAAAAAACCACACCAATATTTCATTTACATTGACTGTTAAAGTAACAGGAAAAAACCTTTCTAATAAGGAACATTTCTCACACTCACCTGTTTGAATAGTCTGCTTCCCTCCTGAGAGGACACCCAAAGGGAGTGTGCCTGTAGGAGTCAGGCCCTTAAGAGTCAGCACACTCTCACTCTCTTCCCTGCAAAGGAAGATTATAGCCCTGGATTAATGCCAGGGTGTCCACCATTCGGCCATTCAAAAAGATCCTTGAAGATCCATTAAAAAATCACAGAGACAGAAGATTTTCCTGCTCCTCATCACTTCCCTGACTCTAAGAAAGGAATGTATCCTATAAATATTCTAATTACAAACAATCAACCAGTTCTTACTTTTCAGTAAGAAACCTTTAATAGTCAGATACTTTTCTATGTTTTCCATATACAAGTGGGCTCTAAAAAGTTCCTGGTAAAAATGGAATTGGCCATGGCAGTTTTCTATAAGTTTTTTTTTTTTTTTGAGGCCTCTTCATATTATACCAAATACTATAACCCCCCTAAAAGTTTGAGGTATGTCTTATTATTATCTCTATTTTATAGATTAGGAAACTGAGGTATAGAAATAAATCCAAGATCAAACAGCTAAGAAAAGGCAACAGAGTAAAGCTTTGAACACAGGCAAGCTGGTTTCAAAATCCACATGAAACCACGACACTCATGACGCTATGCTAGTATCAAATGAATGCTTGCCAGAAGATATTTAGTCATTTTAACATGTAAGTCTGATTCAATCTGCACTTCACAAGGAAACTAGAAATTCTAGTCTGAAATTCAAGTAGAGGAAAAAAAATAAAGCACACACACACAAAACTATTCTGAAATAACTTTCAATAAAATAAAATTTCAAAATGGTTTTAATGAAGACTGTAATTCTAGGCTTTTCCTTACCGAAGAATTGAAAAGACCCGTGCCATCTTCCCAATGGCTCTGATTTTATTCTTGATGATTTCCTTACGAACTGCAGTACCTCCTTAGAGAATACAAAGAAGTGAGTTAAAGAAGTGTGTTCGCAAGTTGGTTTTTAAAACTGCAGGATGAAGTATCTTATTTAGTTAAAGAAACTTGTTTTCTTTAAGAAAATAAATCAGTGCCTAAATTTGTTTAAACCAACAAAAATCCCAGGAAGTTCTAAAGAACAAGAGAAAAAATTAAAAATAAAAAGAGAAAAAGATGAAGTGAAGAAATGGAAGAAGCCACACACATACAGAAAGACAGACTTGGTGGATCCATTAGAGATAGGAATCTTCTTGCGATTCTGAAATGTAGATCACAGCAAAGATTGAGTCACACACCCACAAAGAAACCTGACACAAATAAAGGCAGTTGCTACAGCAAAGATGGAGAAAGTTGTGGGTCACATTAGGATGCACAGCTTCGCAGGCCAAATGGTAAGTGATGACTCAAGCAGTTTTCTTCTGCATGTAAACTCAACGTACAGCTAGGTCTTCTGAATTTGGTGAGGACAGCTTTCATTCTTACTTACACACTGGAAAGTTATTTTGTATTATAAACAAGCAAACCTGTTGCCATCAAACCTATTCTGACTCATAGCGATCCTACAGGACGGAATAAAATTGCCCCATAGGGTTTTCAAAGCTGTAATCTTTACAGATGCAAACTGTCACCTCTTTTTCCCAGTAAGAGGCTGCTGGGTTCAAACTCTGACCTTTAGTTCACAGCCAAGCACTCAACCACTGTGCCACCAGGGCTCATTGCTTTCTACTAGACTAAAGACAAACACATAAACAAGAAAATCTAGCAAATAAACCCACTGCCATGCAGTCAATCCTGATTTACAATACACAGAACTGCTCCTTAACGGTTTCCGAGAGGGAGCAGAGCCTCATCTTTCTCCTGAGGAGCAGTTAGTGGATTGAATGGCTGACTTTGTGGTTAACAACCCAAGATACCCACTACATCTCTGTTGTTGTTAAGTTCCAGCTCATAGCAACTCTGTGTAGGGTTTCCGAGGAACAGCTAGTGGGTTTGAATTGCTGACCTTGTGGTTTAGCAGTCCAGTGCTGATTCTATAGTGCCACACCAGGACACCATTATTACTTTTTTTTTTTTTTTTTTTACTACAGGCAGTATAAATTATGAGAACAGGTAAGGTATTTTACAAAGTGACATAAAAAAATGTACGACTTTGTGTCCTTATGTCATCTAAGATTCAGGAAACAGTCTAAACATGAGGAGCCAAGATCCAGGCATGCACCAGCTGACCACATTTAAATGTCAGAAAATGAAACATGGTCTCTCCTTCCTCACCCTCCAGTTGTCGGTATCCTGAGGGTTCATATAAAATGGTTACATTAAAACAGAAAGGATGACTGGAGAGTCCATCTTGAATTATTCAACTCCCAACTAAGAAAAGTCTAACCAATAGACTACAGCACAGGCAGTGAATATTAAGCTCTTAGCACATTTTAGTCTGGTACCTTTCTGAAAGCTTGAAATGTAGTGATTTTTAGGGAGAAGAGAGACAGCAAGAAACAAGGAGATGAAATAGAAATATGAGAAGAAAGATTTATGTTTATATGGAAGAGAAAAAAAAAATCAAAGGGAAATGCAATGAGAAAGGCAGGTTATTGTCTTTATCAGCTTCTAAAAGACATTCCTGTTTACATTACAGATTTATTTTGTCAGTAGTTTTTGCCATTTCTTAAAAGTTTATAATTTTACATTAATTCACATTTATTACTATCCTACATTTTCTATTTATGAAAATAAAACTAGGGAAAGAAAAGATAGCATTTGCGGAACGTACGAAGTTGAAAACAAGGAACAAAAACAAAGGATAGATAGAACGAACAGCTTATAAATCTTAAGAATGTGATACAATTCAAACTATCTTTAGTAAAAGTATTGGAATAACATACCCTTGAATTTAGAGATAAATAAGAAATAAAACTTAAAAATGCATACTTTTTGGTTTTCTGTCAAATTTTAGATTTGTTTGCTAAGTGACTAAAAACTATACTAATGAGACCCAGGTTTAGTTCTGTGATGTTCCAACCAGCATCCTCAGAAAACTTTTGTGCCATGGTCACAACTATTTATGTGTTGATGATTATAAACAATGAGGTTTCTTTCTACATCAGGCAAAAGAATCCAAAGTACATCATCTTCTGCCAGTAACCTCTTTATCTTTACAGAAAAGTATTTTTTTATGGTAGAGAATCATTTACTCATTTCTCCCAATTTCTTCTACTTAAACTTTATAACGAATTGTTGACCTTCATTGTGGTTTGAGAAGAATAGTAGCCTACTGAGTGAGGTGCCCTTCTCAAGGACGACTAAAATCCCCAGTGTGTAACTGGTTAGAACTAGATATGAAAGCCAACACTATTTTCTATCTGAAAAATTCTAACAAGCCAATGAGAATACTCATAACTATAAAAAACAAATAGTACATAGTCCAAGTCCTTTCCTCTATCCCTCCAATTGCACCCCCCAGAAGAAACTGTTTAAAAAGTCTATCTAAGCCTTTTTTAGAATTTTTTTCTTTGCCTTATAAATTGCAAATAATTTTAAACTTTCAGAAAAGTTAAAATAGTACAAAGAACTCCTATATAGTCTTTATCCAAAATTCACCTGTTAAATTGTCTCATTTGCTTTATAACTTGATCTCTCTATATTATTCATATTATTTCCCCCCTGAAACATGTGAGAGTAAGTTGCATGCATCATGGCCCTTTATCCCTGAATATATTAGTATATAGGATACATAGCCTGTACCACCACATAATGCAATATGTGGTTCACATAGAACTACAGGACAATTATCAAACTCCTTATAATTAATATTGATATAATCTAACTTACCATCTAAAATCCAATCTTGCCAACTTACCCAATAAATTCCTTTAAACTACTTTATCCCCCTTCTCTATAGTATCCAGTGGAGTCTTGGTGTGGCACCGTGGGTAAATGTGCCAGACTGCAAAGCAGCTTGAACTGCAAGGTTGACGGTTCAAGCTCATCAGCTGCTCCTTGGAAACCCTATACAGGGTCGCTATAGGTCAGAACCAACTCAATGGCACTTAACAACAACAAATAGAATCCAGTATAGGATCATGTATTGCAATTGTTGTTGTTGTTGTTGTTAAGTGCCGTCGAGTCGGTTCCGACCCATAGCGACCCTGTACAGGGTTTCCGAGGGTGTAAATCTTTACGGGAGTAGAAAGCCTCATCTTTCTCCCGCAGAGCAGCTGGTAGTTTCAAACCGCTGACCTTAAGGTTCGCAGCCCGATTCGTAACCACTACGCTACCAGAGCTCCTTAGCTACCTTATTTTTCAATTCTCCAGACTTTTTATCTTTCATGGTCCTGGCATTTTTGAATAATAATAATTTTTGCTTAATAGATTCTCATTTAGGATTTCTTTGATGTTTCTTTTTTTTTAAGGTTTTTATTGTGGATTGAGTGAACATTTACAGGGCAGATCATCAGTTTTACATTCAACTCTTTGATGTTTCTTCAGGATTAGATTCAAGTTATGCATTTCTGGTTGGGATAGTATGTAAGTGATATTGCCTTCCCAGGGCAGCTGTCCTTCAAGAGGTATATGATGTACATCTGTTCCGTGTTCAAGATGCTAATTTTAATCACCTGGTCAAGGTGTTCAATTTCTAAACTATATATTTTCTTTCTTTGCAACTAATAAGTAATATGTGGGCTAACACTTTACCACCATATGTAAATATCCTACTTCTGATAAAAAAATTCCCTACTACATTTAGCATTCATTGATAATTCTTACTTGAATCAATATTTACTATGTTGTTGTTGTTGTTGCTAGGTGCTATTGAGTCGGCACTGACTCATAGTGACCCTATGCACAGCAGAATGAAACACTGCCCGATCCTGGGCCAGCCTCACTACTGTTGCCATGCTTGAGCCCATCAATGCTACCACTTGGCCAATCTATCTCGTTGGGGGGGTCTTTCTCTTCTTCTCTGACCCTCCATCTTACTAAACATGATATCCTTCTCTAGTGACTGGTCCCTCCTGACAATATGTCCGAAGTATGAGAGATGCAGTTTGGCCATCATGGCCTCCAAGGAGCACTCTGGCTGCACTTCTTTCTAAATGGATCTATTGGTTCTTTTGGCAGCCCATGACACTTTCAATATTCCTCAAATACCATAACTCAAAAGCATCAATTTTTCTATGGTCTTCCTTATTCACTGTCCAGCTTTCGCATGCATATGAGGTTACTGAAAACACCATGGGTTGGGTCAGGCGCACCTTAGTCCTCAAGCTGACTCTTTGCTCTTCAACACTTTGAAAAGGTCTTGTGCAGCTGATTTTGCCTAATGAAATACAACGTTTGATCTCCTGACTACTGCTTCCTTGAGTGTTGATAGTTGATCCAAGAAGAATGAAGTCCTTGACAACTTCAATCTTTTCTCCGTTGATATGAATATTGTTTATTGATGTCCAGTGGTAAGGATTTTTGTTTTCTTTACATTGAGATGTAATCCATACCGAAGGCTGTAGTCTTTGATCTTCATCAGTAAATGTTTTAATTCCTCTTCACTTACAGCAAGCAAGGTTGCTTATCGCAGGTTGTTAATGAGTCTTCCTCCAATCCAGATGCCATGTTTTTCTTCATATAACCCAGCTTCTTGGATTATTTGCTCAGCATACAGGTTGAATAAGTATGGTGAAAGAATACAACCTTGTCACACTCCTTTCTTAATTTTAAACCATTCAGTGTTCCCATGTTCTGTTCGAACAACTGCCTCTTGGTCCAGGTACAGATTCCTCATGAGCACAATTAAGTGTTCTGGAATGCTTTTACTTCGCAATGTTGTTCATAGCTTGTAATGATCCACACAATTGAAAGTCTTTGCATAGTCAATAAAACACAGGTATCTACCTTTCTGATATTCCCTGCTTACAGCCAAGATCCATTGGACATCAGCAATGATATCCCTTGTTCCACGGACTCTTCTGAATCCGGCTTGAACCTCTGGAAGTTCTCTGTCAATGTATGATTGTAGCCGTTTCTGTATTACTTTTAGTAAAACTTTTATTTGCATGGGATATCAAAGAGATTGTCTGATGATTTCTGCATTCCGCTGGGTCACCTCTCTTTGGAATGGGCACAAATGTGGAGATCTGAAAAGAAGTTGGCCAGATAGTTGTCTTCTAAATTTCTTGGCAGAGATGAGTGAGTGCTTCCTGTGCCGCCTCACTTTCTTGAAAGATTTCAATTTTGATTCCATCAATTCCTGCTGCCTTGTTCTTTGCCAATTCCTTCAATGTACCTTGGACTTCTCCTTCAGTATCATTGGCTCTTGATCATATGCTACCTCTTGAAACGGTTGAACATTAACCATTTCCTTTTGGTACAGTGACTCTGTGTATTCCTTCCATCTTCTCTTGATGCTTTCTGCATCATTCAACAATTTGCCCAGAGAATTTATCAACTCCTATAGCCCTACTTCACTATTTTCTTTAAAAAAAAAAAAAAAAAAAGTTCACTCCACATATTCCATTAAGTCTAACTCTACTAATATCTATTATGTTCACTGCAGCACTATATTTGGCTTTAGGGTGAACAAAAAATATTACTGCCTCAGTATTCTGAGAGTTTATTATTGAGTGGAAGTAAAATGTATTAATGGTATGATATAAATGAAAAATTGCAACTTAATGAACATTAACAAGAGGTTGATATGGATACGGGCAATAACAGGGTTTTGGATATAGTAAGGCAACCCAAACTTTCTTCCATGAGGAAATAACAGAAGCTGACAAGAAGTTAACTAAGAAGGAAGAAAGGAAACTTGTATAAAGGAAATATGTCAGGTAGAGGAAAAAGTATCTATTATATGGATATATAATAATTAATTTACCTAACAACCCTCTAAGGAGATTTTAGATTGTTTTGAACCATTTGCAGCTACAGACAATAAATACTTCAATAAATACTCCCACATACAATTTCTGGCATACTTTCAAAACCATATCCTTCTTGTAGTCAATATTTCTTTTTTCATATATGTAATTTCAGTCATATCAATTTAGATCTGACTGTAAATTTTACTGTTACTTTTTTATATTTCATCTTCTCCTAACGTAAATTATTTAGTTTTAATATCCATCTTGCTGTACTGTTTCCTCAAGATTCACTGTAGTGATCCCTATTCCATAAATAAAGGTACTCACCAGGTATGCTCCATCCTCTATACCTTCAGTGTAACTGTTGTAAGGAATTTAAAGTTATGATGACCACCTAATCACTTTGAGCTTCTCAATTTAGTGGACAAGGAGGAAGAAAAAGAAGTTCCATTTAGGCAAGGATAATCCACAGTGATTATCATGAGAAGATAAGATTGCTGTTACACACTGAAGGCAGAGAGCAGTAGGTATAGAGTTTGGGGAGTAAGCTGAGTTTTTTCTGTTATATAGATGGCTAGTCCTAACACTCAGTGGATCACCTTAGCAGACAGCTTGGAGAAAATGAGACAGAGATCTTTGGTTAGATGCCACCATCTTTCCAGAATCTCATATGTTTTTAGACAAGTTAAGACCTACCTTTAAAATCAAACCTGCTACACCACATTAAGAAAAATGTACTTGGTTTCATATACAATAAAATGTTACTATAAAAAAGATTCCTCTCAGATCAGTAAGTGAAAAGAACATACACAATCCAGTTTTCAAGAAATTTTAAAAGGACAAAAGGTATGAATGGACAATTCATAAAAAAGAAATAAAAATGGCCAATTAACAGACACAAAAATGTTCATTATTCATCATAAAAATACAAATTAAAAATTTAAAAGCATCAGACTATCACAATTATAATAAACAGTGTTGGAGAGCTATAAACCGATACCGTCTTTCTTGAAATCTATCTGTATCATACTTAAAATGATAAATACAAGTTGATCAAGACCTTGGAGATCAACTCCAAGAAGTTTATCCTATGGAAATAGTCGAGAAAATGTTAATTTTGATCTTACACTGCTTTACTTTCTTTCATAGCATTTATCACCATCTGATGTGTATTTATATTGCTGTTCCCAGCTCCCCATTAGAATAGGGTTTTATTGACAGACAAGACTTTAACATGTTCTGATGAATCCTTAGTACCTAAAACAGTGGCTGGCACATATCAGGCATGTAATTAAGTACTGGTTGTTGACTGAACATGCAAAGATTTATTTATAAGAATTTTCAAAACTCTAGGGTTTCCTAAAGCAAGAGTTAGAACAAATTCAGTATCTAAGAGCAGAGGATTAGTTAATAATGTCAGACAGTACTACTATGTAACCATTAAAACTTGATCTACAAAAAATTACACAGTAAACGCCGATTATAATTTTACATGACAAGAGTAGGGTCCTATGACCTCATTTTTGTAAAAAGGAAAGAAAAAAATTCCTCTCTCTATATATATTCAAAGCTAAAAGACAGCTAACACAGTATACATCAAGATGTTAACAACAGACATCTATGAGATGATGGAATTATGGGTAAATTTTTTTTCTAATTTATGATTTTCTGTAGCCTTCAATTTTTTTTTTCTTACAATGAACATAATTCTTTTTCAATGAGATACAATTATTCAAAATATAAACCAAAACCAAAATGTTTTAGTTTGTAGTTTAAATGAAGAAAAGGAAATTTTACCTTCTAATGCTTCCTCATCGGGTATCAGTTCATCATCAGAGCATATGTTGAGAATGTTAACCAGCATCTCTGTTACTACAAGAAAAATAGTAAAAAAGTTACAAAATTTAAAAAGCTTTTTCTAAAATAATGTGAAGATCTAAAAAAAAAAAAAATTGTATCAACATAAATAATTATTTGCCATTAATTATTGACACTTATAAAGAGTAGCATTAAATGTAGACCTTCAGTATACATAGAATAATCTGCTTACTTATTTCAATTAATAGTCTGGCATCTTTTAAGATCCTAATAAAGGCATACCTTGTCTTATTTCACTTCACAGATACTGTAATTTTTTACAAATTGTAAGTTTTATGGCATCAAAGTAAGTCTACTGGCATAATTTTTCCCACAGCCAGTAGACCTTCAGGTACATAGAGAGTAATACTCAGTCTTCTCTTCACTGATATGCACATGACACATTCTCTCCCATTTTATAAAGAAATTAAGCAGTCTATGCCTGACAGGTTTACTGCATATTTGCATAGTTTACTCGTGTAGTTTCACAAAATAAAATTCTAAGACCAATATTTCCTGTTTAATTTCTTTGTTGTTGTTATTAAGTACCATTTCTTTAGCACTGGAAAAAGTACTGAGGGAATAACAGTGATTATGTTATTTTAATATAGTGATCATAATAGAACAGTTACTGTATTTTTAAAAAACTTTTTATTGTTTATTGGTTTACAGAGCAGATCATCAGTTTTATATTCAACAATTCATACACATTTTGCTTCATCTAATTGATTACAATCACTTCAGTAAAAATCACTTGTCCCCATGGAAAGAGAAAGGCTGTGTGCTGGCGGCCAGGAGGCAGGCTTGCAGCATGTGCCCTTTGGTTGTTTAAATGATTGTATGTTTCTGAGTGTTTTTGTGTATATCCCCAAAATAAAACAAAACAAAAAACAGAGGGACTAGAAGCAAATACTGTTGAATGATGATGCATGGAGGAGACTGTAATCATTGCGATGAAACAATGAGTGTAAAACTGATGGTTCTTCCATGTAAACGATCACTCAATTCACAATGCTTAAAAAAAAAAAAAAAAAAAAAATTAGTTTATCCCACTTCTTCCCTGTGTTTCCTATTTCTATTCCTCCTCCTTTCCTGATCATTCTGAACTTTGTCCTTGGGTAAATGCTGCTCTTTTGATCTCAAGGTATGCACACCTCACTAGTGTTATTGTACACTTTTATGATTTTGTAATCCTATTCTCTTTTATGATTTTGAGCTTTGTTCCACATTTTCTCCTACCCTATCCAGGACCTAATATAATTAATCCCTTTCAGAGTAGTTGGCATTAATAGTCAGGCATGACCTAGTACTTCTGGTCACAGAGTTGTGGAGAGTGACGTGTGCATGGTTCATTAGTCCACTGGACTAAATATTTCCATGCATCTTCAACTTTTATCACTGTTCTTTACTCCAGACAGAGACCAATAGTCACACCTTAGATGGCTACTCACAAGCTTTTAAGACCCTAATCGCAATATTCATCAAAGTAAGATGTAGAACATTGTCTTTTTGGACTATAGTTGATCTAGGTGTTTCCTGAGTACCCAGCACAACAACTCATTCTCTCAAAGTGCTTGGTTATGTCTGAGGAGGTTTCATAACTTTGTCCCTGGTATGTTCCTCTACATTCATGGATATATATTCAACAAAAGTAAATACCCATGTGCAACTATCCTCTGTCAAACCTGTATAGTCCTCCTCTCTCTCCCATACCTCTTCAGCCTGCTTATCTATTCAATTACTTATTTCCTTTCCCTTCATCTGCAAGTATCATATGTATTAATTTTTTCCCAAGTTTAAAACAGTCTGTTCTATGTTGAAATCTACTAGACTTCCTCTCCACTTGGAAGTTCTGTAACTACACTATTCCCTCCTTTTACTTTATAACTGTGTTTATTACAAATTGCTATCTCTGTTCCCTATTTTCAGTCTTAGAGGTTTGCTTTACTTTGGATACTTCTATATCTGGAGCACTAAGTGCAGTGTTATAGGATAAGCACTGACTTGCTAACCACAAAGTCAGCGGTTCAAACCCACCAGCCACTCCATGGAAACCTTAAATAGGATCACTATGAATCAGAATTAACTTGACAGCATTTAACAACGTGTCGGGGTTGACTTGTGAGTAGTGCTGTCATGCATGTTTAATCTCAGGTTGTTGGCTACTGTTGTTGGTTCTCTATCCAAAACACTTCCTTTAGTATTTCTTGTAAGATTGAACTGGTTTTGGCAATCTCCTTTAATTTCTGTTTATCTGGAAATGTCCTAATTTCACTACTGTATTTGAGGGACAGTTTTTCTGAGTATATGATTCTAGGTTGGCAAATTCTTTTCAGAGGTTAATCTTCTAGGTTCTCCTTTATAGGTACCTTTTAGTTTTTCCCAAACTGTTCTCAGGATACCTTCCTTACCTTTGGGTTTAGGAAGTTTGATTATGATATATTTTGGTGATTTTCTTTTGGGTTCTATCCTGTTTGAGGTTCATTTAGCTTCATGAACGAGTATCTTCTCATCTTTTATGATGTTAGGAAAATTTTCTTTCAATAACTCTGCAACAATTTTCTATGTGCTTTTTTGGATCTCTTCCTGTTTGGAATTCCAATTACACACAAGTTATTCCTTTTGATGGAATTCCACTTAATTTTTAGGCTCTGTTTGGATTTTTTTGTTCTTTTTTTCTGATTGTTCCTCTAGCAATTTAGTATGGCAAGACCTCTCTCTGAGTTCAACAATTCAACCTTCCAAAGATTCAATTCTACTCCTTCGCCCTTTCAGTGTATTATTGATCCTTGAAATCTTAATATTTATATTCTGGGTTTCTTTTTGCTGTTCTTGTTATCAGTTTGTTCTTGTAGTGTTTTCCTGTTTTGCTTTTATTTTCCTTGACTTTGTCTTACGCTTTCTTGATCTCTCAATCCTTTGAAGGCACCTAAATATCATGCTTTGGAATTTTTTATCTGGTAGTTCCAATGCCATTTCTTCCTTAGAAAGGTCATTTGAGTCTGTGTTTTGATCGCTTGTTTGTGCCACTCTTATTTCTTCATGTGAACTGAAATTGTCTGCTTTCTCTGAGACATTGTGGTATTGTTCTATTTTATTTATATTTAATTTATCATTGTATGTTGGTGTGTTCTTAGGTACTCTCCGCCTGGCTCCTGGTGGGTATGGCAGAGAATGTGAGTGTGTGCAGTTCTCTGATCACTGTTTGTGAGGCACATTGAGGGCAGGTTTGTGTGACATTGACCACAGGACAGCTACTTTACTATCACTTTAAGTGTCAAGTGTCACTTAACCATTGTTGTAGAGGAAAAACAAAATTAGAAAGCATTTCTGGTAACTTTATTTCTGAATCATCAGGGGAGCTACAAGTAAAATAATCAGTCACTAGTTAAGACAATGAATGTATGATCCACATGTTTATTTTATCTTACCTTTTTCCCCAACAAAAGGCAAAGACCATGTGAAAACATCCATAAAGTTTGGGAGCCAGTAAGGGTGCGGAGAACAGTTGAACTGCCTGATATTCATGACATTGTTTTCGTATTTCAGCACAGCAGCTAAAAAAGGAAAAAGCAAGAATCTGGGCACCAAGGAACATAACACAGTAATTGATACCTTTTATTCAGCTGTACACTTACTACACAGAATTCAGGAACTTTCTATTTGTAAATTTGAGACTAGGTGCTTACATGTAGACTGGAAAAAAAATTTAAGCATTTTATAATAGTTTATTCTCTTAAGATTTATCCCAAGTAACAAAGTTATAGAAGAGCTCATATAATAAAAGTACAAAGCAAACTGAGCTCTGAGACCTCAAAGGGTCATGCACAGTAACTGTATAGAAACCTTGGGTTTGACATGAGAAAAACTTCCTTTTATAGGTCAGATGGTTATAATAACAACTCTCTTTTAAGGGCAAATATCACTCATTACATGAACAATGCTTCTTTTGCCTGTCATTAACCAGAACCAAAAGATTTTATTTCCTGGAACTTTATAACATTGTAGTTATTATCCATTCATATTGGGGGAGACATATGATAAACTTGAAGTGACTTATTATAATCAGTGTTCAAAAGTCTCTTAAATTATCTCTGCGTGAAATAGAGTGAACATAAAAAAAAAATGCCTATCTGTCCTAAAGACAATCAGTATATGAATACCACTTTATAAATGTTTAATATTATCCAGTGCATGCTGTTGCACACATATTTTGGTACTAAGCAAATATTCTTTATATTTTAGAAAATTATAAAATCCAGTTCCTTAGTATTCCTATCACCAGGAACGTAGTTTGCACTATTCTTGTAAGTATTCTAACTGTGGTCATGAAATAGAATAGAGCATATCAGTTATCTAGAAATGACAGACATAGGTCATCTCCTAGATCCTATTTGTTACTAGAGGGTCTCAACCCAAAAAACCAAATCCATTTTTGTGGAGTTGATTCCAATTCATAATAACCCTTTAGAACATAGAATTGTGCCATAGAGTTTTCAAGGCTGTAGTCCTGGTGTGGTGCTGTAGGATAAACACTCGACTGCTAACCACAGGGTTGGTGGTTTAAATCCACCAGTCACTCCTTGGAAACCCTCTACAGGGCCCCTATGAGTCAGAACTGACTAGATAGCATAGAACAACAACAATCCTTATGGAAGCAGATGGTCAGCTCTATCTCTTATAGAGTAACTGGTGGTTTGCAATTACCAACCTTTCAGTGAGTAGTCAAGTACTTTAACCACCGCATTACCAGGGCTCTTTTATCTATGCTCATGTTCTCAAAATTTAAGGTACTGAATATCCAAAACGGGCCCCATAAATCATCAAGAAAATACATCCTGAAAACAGGATCTCTGGTTCTCAAAAACCTAATACTGGCAATAATGTACATACCCCACTGTTTTCATAGATGTGGCTTTTATTTAGGTTTGTTGGTTGGTTGGTTATGTGCCGTGGAGTCGGAACTGACTCATAGTGACTCTATACGGGGTTTCAGAGGCTGTCAGTCTTTATGGGAGCAGAACGCCTCATCTTTCTCCCACGGAACAGCTGGTAGTTTCGAACTGCTGACCTCAAGGATCGCAGCCCGATTTGTAACCACTTTAGGTTAGGTGAGTATATAATTATTTTTAAATTCCCTCAATCTACACAGGAAAGAGAGATGTGTGGAAGGCCTCAATAATAAATTATTAGGAACAAAAGCTTTAAAAAGTGCTTTTAGGTATGTTCTTAGTAGCCAGAAAAGAATAGAAAAAGCTTTAAAACTCATGCCTTAAAGGTCTTTCATGTAATCAATGGGACCAAGAAATACTTGTGGATATCAGTAAATCTAAAGAATAAGTAAGAAGAAAAGAAACAGTAGATGAAGAGAAGGAAAAGCAGGATGGAATTTCCTGTTTTAAAGGAGAGAGGTATTTATGTGGGCTGTTACTGAGAATTACCAATGATGTTTTAGATGCTAAGTTTTCTACCCTTTTCCTAGAAAATACTTAAGAATAACAAAGGTGTTGGGAGTGATTTGAACTGAAGGTCTCAGACTTGGGGGCAGTTTAACTGAAGGATTGCAACTAAACAGTTGTGGTCCAGAAAATCGGGCTGCTCCCAAGTCAGGCTGCCCGCTGAGGAACTTCCAAAGCCTGCCTCAGGGAACAAGGATTTTTGCAAAGTCTTTCCTTGTACACAGTCATGGCCTTCAGTTCAAGTCTGCAAAAGCATCTTGCTGCCCTATCTCTGTTTCCCTAGCAACTACATTCTTCTGATAAAGTCCCACTTACTGCTTGCATCTATACACCAAAAGTTTTTTACAATCTTTTCCCTGCCCCCAGCTCTCTCCTTTGATTTGTGTATATAATAAACATGCTGAACATAGATAGGTGTCACAGTATCTTCATCAGAATGCTGTGTCCCACTTGGTCCTAACTTTACATATTTCATTTTGTGTCTTGTGTCTTCCTCTTTTTTCTAATCTCCCATCACCCCTACTCGGATTTAATCTCTCCGTGCGGGTCGCAGAGTACAGCCACTGGTAGGATGCGGCACAAAGGAAAACTAGATTTTTTAAAAAAGATACAGTTGTCATGCAGTTGTTGTTAAATGCTGTTGAGTCATTTCCAACTCACAGCAACCCTGTATAGAGTTTCTGAGGCTATAAATCTTATGAAAACAAAAACCCTCCTCTTTCTTCCACATAGTGGCTGATGGGCTTGAATTGCTGACCTTGAGGCTCACAGTCCAAATGCTTATCCTATGTAGCCACCATGCTTCTCAATTATGTCATAGCTAATGGAAAATACAGGTAAAATGAAATGTAACTTAGAAAGTTTATTGAAGGAATAATCAAGAACAAAACAATTAGAAGGAGATAAAAACAGAAAAAGTGAGCTAACAGTTAATGTAGTGATTGCCAGTTTAGATGGCATGCTTCAGCTTAGCACACTTATACATTCGTTGGCAGTCAACAGATATTCTTCATAATGAGGTCAATAAAGGAAGTAAGAAGCAAAAAGTTTCATCACAAATATGAGGATATTTAACAATACAAACAGTACATAACATTTGATAAGGAGAAACAAAGATAGTAAGTTGCCACTTACGTTCTGAAAATGTTAGAAAAATGAAACAAGAAAAAAAAAAAGTTAGGGTGAAGCAAAGCACTACAGGACAACTGAGGCTTGGAGAAGAAATAAAAAGGCTGTGAGAGAACTTCGTAAAAGAAATGCTTTTTAAAAAAAAAAAAAAAAAAGGACCATGAATCACTGAAGGATGTGAAAAAGAGATACCCAAATCAGGTTTAAATGAAATGTGCCATTTCATAGTTCACTTTTTTTTTTTTTTTTAAAGTTATTAAGTACAGTATGGAGTCTTGGTGTGTTGCTAGAGGATAAACACTGGACTGCTAACTGCAGGTTGGTGGTTCAAACCTACCAGTAGCTATAAGTTGGAAATGACTCTAAGGCACTTAACGGCAGCAGTATATCAAAGCTAAAAGGAAAATGACTGAGGTTTACTAGTCTCCTTATCTGATAAAAGGACACATACAAACTTCTAAGATTAGTTTTTTCCTACTTCAATCTCTCCCCTCCCCTAGACTCCAGAGATCCTGACTTAATTGGTATGGTGTACTGTCTGGATATTGGGAATTTTTTGTTTTTGTTTTTAAAAGCAATAATAAACCATGCTCCTCTTTCTCCAGCATCTGTTAACCACAAATCTACTTTTGTCTCTATGCTTTTGTCTTTTAAGTGCCATGGAGTCATTCTGACTTATAGTGGCCCTGTATAGGGTTTCCAAAGTGCAGCTGGTGAGTCTGAACCGCCAACCTTGTGGTTCAAATCAACCTTGCAGTTGAGTGCTTATCCTATGGTGCCATATCAGGACTTTTGCCTATTCTAGATCATTCATATATGTAGGACTATACATTTGTCTTTTTTGTGTCTGGCTTTACACTTAGCATACTGTTTTCAAGGTTCATCTACATAGTAGCATGTATCAGCACTTTATTTCTTGCTGTTTTTTTTTTTTTTTTTTTAACAGAATGTCTCATTAATTGATATTGAAAGAGGAATATAGGTTTGAATGTTTTGTAAGATTTAAAGCTAAGTATAAATGGATTAAAAAACAATATATAAATTCCAAATAACTAGAGAACACTAAAATTGTTTTCAATTTAAATTTACATCAATTTTCTTCTCTTTTGATTCCAGAGACCAGGACTAAGAATCCCAGGTCTAAAAATGTTTTCCCTGACTAAATATTAATAAAATTATTTTAATACAAAATAACAAAAATAGCTACAAATCTTATAATTTAAAAAATATTTCAAACAAGAGTACTCTTTCATGCATTTCTTTTTCAAATTATTCTTAGATATTTTTTTTGCCAGTTAACTTATATTAGGCAGGACTTTAAAAGGTTTATGGAAAAATTCCATTATCTTTAAATTCAACTGTCCCATGAGCTTTTTAAAGCTCCCCTTTTATTCTGTTAGTTGGATTACATTCTTAGGTATATTTAAAGAATAATAGCTAATGGTATGTTTTTTTAATTCTTTATCTGGAAACATTTATGCTGTAATTTCTATATGTGACTGAAAACTTTGCTGGATATAAAATTCTTGTTTCACTTAACAAAAAGAAAAAGGAACTTCATTTCTTTATGGCTGAATAATATTCCATTGTATAGATATGCCATATTTTGTTTATCCGTTCATTTGTTGACAGACACTTACTTGGGTTGTTTCTACCTTTTTGACTATTGTGAATCATAGTTCACTTTAAAATATAGTAATTGTTAAGTATAATGTGGACTTTTTTTGAAACTTCTCTCCCCAACTGCATAATCAAGATGTGACTATAAAGTAATGAGACTTAAAAAACTACGACCAACAAACATACCAGACTTTATATATAGCATATGAGTATGGTTCTTTGATGTAATCATATCAGGTAAAACAACAGCAAAATGTTAACACTATTATAGCAGTTTATGGTTTGACAAATTTTGTATCATTCATTTCATTACTCCAACTTATCTTCTAAAATCCTATGTGATGGGTATTTTAAAGATAAACTGAGGCTCAGAGAAGTTAAGTAACTTGTTAAAAGTCACACATTTAAAAGTAAAAAGGGATTATACTAGAAATTCTGATTCCTCACTTAGTGCTCTTTTCAATATACCTTGCTGCCTTGCTATATATTGTAATCCAATCATGCTGCCATTACTCAAAACGTTTTTGGAACGCCTCTTTTGGAATTACCTCCAGAGCCAGTTTATAAGCAACACAAGAAAGACCAGTCTCATTACCCTATAATCATACCTTGTTACTGATCCCCAAATGCTATCATCTACCTTGATCACTCACCTTATGCATCAGTCTTGACTCCGAATGACTTTTGGCTGTTCCAAAAATCAAATCCACCCTCAAAGGACGAAGGTTTGCCATCATTGAGGATAATCAAAAGAATGTGTCGCAGACTCTGAAGGCAATGCCAGAAAAGGAGTTCCAAAATGTTTTGAGCAATGGCAGCATTGTTGGAATAAGCATATAGCCTCCCCAGGTAGCTACTCTGACGGATAATACTCAGTGTGGATATATACGTTCTGGCATGTTTGTTAAAAAGTCATTATCTTATAGTCATTATTTTATAGTCATATCTTATAAATAACCAAATACTTACAGATGTAGGAAGCTTTTAGTATGACTACTTCTTGGATACAAAACTATAAATCATAAAAAATTTTAAACTTAAAGACTTTAACAGGATAAAGTCTTAGAAACAGAAATTCCGATTAGAGGGCATGTGCATTTTCAATCATCTTTATATATATATACATATATATATATAGGGGAAACTGAGGTTTAGAAAGATTATGTATGTGACACACCCAAAGCCACACTGTTTTTGGCAAGGCTTGAGCTCAAATGAAGACTTTTTCTGACATTTTGTATATATTCACTCTACCTATGCCATTCCACAAATAAAGAGCAGCGACAGCTCAACAATTCACAAACATGAAAACACCACCAAATGATGACATGTTACTAAGGTACGGTTATTTGTTGTTGTTGTTAGGTGCCATCAAGTCGGTACCGACCCATAGCGATGTTATGCATAGCAGAACGAAACACTACCCAATCCTGGGCCAACCTCACTACTGTTGCCACGCTTGAGTCCATTGATGCTGCCACCTTCCCAATCCATCTCGTTGGGGGTCTTCCTCTTTTTCTCTGACCCTCCACCTTACCAAACATGATATCCTTCTCCAGTGACTGGTCCCTCCTAACAATATGTCCAAAGTATGAGAGACAAAGTTTGGTCATCTTGGCCTCTAAGGAATACTCTGGCTGCACTTCTTTCAACACGGATCTATTGGTTCTTTTGGCAGCCCATGACACTTTCAACATTCTCCTCCAACAAAAGCCCTCATCACTGGACCAATAAAGAACATTCTTATCAACAAAGACTGAAGTTGTCAAGGACTTCATACTCCTTGGATCAACTATCAACACTCACAGAAGCAGCAGTCAAGAAATCAAATGATGTATTGCATTAGGCAAGTCTGCTGCACAAGACCTTATTCAAGTGTTGAAAAGCAAAGATGTCAGCTTGAGGACTAAGGCGTGCCTGACCCAAGCCATGGTATTTTCAATAACCTCATATGCATGCAAAAGCTGGACAGTGAATAAGGAAGACCATAGAAGAATTGATGCCTTTGAGTTATGGTGTTGGAGGAGAAAAAAGGTGCGGTTATAGACAAACAGAATTAACAAAAACCATAATTTAAGTGGACTGGTCTAACTTAAACCTAAAAGTCATTTATTCTGCTTGTACTTTGATTTAGTAGAAATTAAACTGATTGATTATTATACTCAGAAAGAGTCCAGTAATCCTTAGGATGTGAAAACCAAGTAGCAACCTAAATTCTAAATTTCTTGCCCTTCAATTAAAATCTCTCTTATTATTTTAAATGTACACATACAAATAATATATACGTGCATATATACATATGATTAAACTAGAGTTCACATTTACTCACAAATTCAAAGTGAAAATATCGCTGTACTCTTTTACCTTTATTGTTATAGACATCTAGGTAATTTGGGGCAGAGAAAATTGTAATGAGTGATGGAAAGCCTGTTGTTTGGCTCTTCCTGTACATTCGATACCTGAAAGAGAGATGACAGCATGTCTGTCTTGATATTAAAACAAAAATTCTACGGTAAAATTAGGTATAAATGTATTCTAACTTACCCAGCATCTTGAGCTTCATGGGCTCTGATTACTGATAACAAATTATTGTTCTGCAAAAATTCACAAACTGCAGGGTAACTGAAAGAACATTAAAAAATATAAATCCAGAATTAAAAGAATTATTTTTCAATAGAAGGCAGGGGAATAGTCAAAATTGCATGAGCTGGGTTTGTTTCAAGATGAACGCTCCTGTTGTACCACTGTGGGATGAAAGCACTGTACTGCAAGGTCAATTTGAACCACAAGGTCAGTGATTCAAACTCACCAGCCACTCCTTGTTCGCTATGAATTGGAACCGATTTGATGGCACTTAACAACATGTGATGCTGTAGGCTAATGCGTCAGACTGCAAAGACATTTGATCTACAAGGTTGGTGGTTCAAGCTCACCAGCTGCTCCTTGGAAACCCTAATCAGGGTTGCTATGAGTAAGCACCCGACTCAACGGCACTTAACAACAACAACAACAATAAAATATCACATTAGTATGTATATATGTCTGTGTGTGCATATATGTGTATGGTAAAACTGAACATGTCATTTTCTTAGATCATCAAATTATTTAATGTTTGAAAATAAAAAAATTGACTTCACAGGCACTATTAACAAGACATGACATTATGCAAGGATATTTCAACACAGATGCAAATATTATACCCAAACACATTCTAATGAAAGGTACTTGTGTCAACTCCTAAAATGTTCTTTTAGTACTGATATCTTTATGAATGACAAACACCTTATAAGAAGAACTAGAAATACATTAATTAATTAACCTCAGAGAAGCTAAGTGTTATTAATTAATTGATATTATTTAAAGCTTGTTTCTCTATGCTAGTCAGAAAAATTAGCTTTTAAAATTGATAATACTTTCATATGGTATAAAATTGAAGGATACAAGAGTATAGAGTGAAATGCCTCCTTTCTATCCCTATTTCCAATTACCTTGAAAACAACCAGTATATCTAATTTATTGAGAATTTTTTCAGAGATATTCAATTTTAAGCAATTATACACACACACCTTTTCCTCCCTTTTAAAGAATTGTTAGTAGATAGTGCACACAATTCTATACTACGTTTTGTTTTAATTTTTTTGCTGTTGTTGTTAAATGCTATCGAGTCAGTTCTGACTCAGAGTAACCCTATATAGGGTTTTCAAGGAGTAACTGGTGGGTTTGAACTGTGGACCTTGCCATTAAAAATCCAGTGCTTACCCCACAGCATATCACATCAGGACTCATATCCTATATCATATCAGTCTACCATTTCCTTTTCTACAGCTTCCTAGTATTTCATTGTTTGTATGTACCATAATTCATTTAACTTGTCTCTTACTGAAGAATATTTAGGTTGTTTATAATCTGTTAGCATAAAGAATACTGCAATAAATAATCTTTTACCTACATTTTACACATTTGCAAGTGTATCCATAGGATTAAGTGTTAAAAGTAATTGCAAAGTATTCTTCAGGATCAAAGGTCATGTGCATTTATAAATGAGAGATATTACCAAGTTGACCTCCCTCCATAGGAATACTTATTGATATTTGGCCAACGATAAGTAAGTATCACATTCTTTCTACACAATGTAGAAACAAGTTTACATGATTTCATCATATTAGTAATTGGTGAAGTTGGGCGTGAGGAAGGAAAAAGTTGGGAGTGAGTTTGCTTTGAAGAATGCTGAAATGACGGCAAAAATGAGGCTTTTTATGTGTGAACTTAATTTAATGAATACATTATTTTAGCTAATTAATAGATACCCTGGGGAACTAAATAATTACATTATTTGTTAGAATAAAATGCTGAGATTAAAAAAAGTAGATTTCAAAGTTCCCTAGATCTTTCTATTTCTGAGTGGCAGAACACAACAAAAACTTACATGTGATATTTAAAGCAAAAGTCAACTTCTAGGAAATGTCCTGGGCTTAGTACATGTTAAGCTCAGTCTTCTTTTTACATCTTTGCCTATAACCGTCCTTCCAAAATCTGGAGTGCTTTTTAAATAATAGCAAGAAACCTTTATTTTTTAAAAAGTCTATAGATGTATTTGGGAACAAATAATCTAGATCATCTAGAGTTAGACAACAACCTTGAAGCAATACCATTATCGTGTTCAGTGCTCTGCACTTGTTAAGTGCCGTCGAGTAGATTCTGACCCACAGTGACCCTAAATAGGGTTTCCAAGGAGCAGCTGGTGAGCTTGAACCACTGACCTTGCAGTTCAAATGACTTTGCAGTCTGACGCATTTGCCCACAGCGCCACACCAGGACTCCACTGTACACTTACAAGGGTAAAATACATAATACAATGTAATATACAAAACAAAATGAACAGAAAGAACTTTCTGCCTTCTATTAATAAAAAAAAAAAAAAATTTAAACAGAATTCTCTACACTACACATATTCAAGACATAATATATTTAAAAAATAATTAGGTAAAAATCAATTACAGTTTCCTTTCCTAATTTTGTAACATTGAGAATTAACTTACCTGTAGAAATAAGAGCACCCTCGGACAGTGTTGTGAGTATAGTGCTCCAAGGTCTTCTCACTGCCATAGTCCTCAGAAGGATCAGACCAAAGCAAGTCACACACTGGCCCAAAGGCTGGAGGTTCTTTAAACCTGTCTAACTAGAAGACACACAAAAGCCATAAGCAAAAGAGCTCTTGGAAACTGGTATGGATCAAATAACTCCCTTCTAACCACAAGAACAGAAAATATCATGAGAGAAGGCAGTAAGCTCTTAAAGGATTTTCCAGGCAAGGAAAAGAATATTAACAATTCAAAAGTCGAATCAGCTTGGTGGCAATGAGTTTAGTTTTTGGTTATATGGGATCAAGCTGGTAACTGCAACTCAAATTAGATTAGAAATTTAGGAGGCAGTGAGTTTATATTAATTGTTATTGTTGTAAGGTTCCATTGAGTCAGTACCCACTCATAGCGACCTTACGCACAGCAGAACGATATATTAGGGAGTACAACATGGAAAAGGAGGGTAAGAATGGTTATACAACTCTAAGAGTGTAATCAACGTCACTGAATTATACATGCAGAAGCTACTGAATTGGTACATGTTCTGCTGTGTATTCGACAATAAAATCAATTTTTAAAAATCAACAAATTATAAGTGTACAATTTATTACTTGTCTGTCACAAATTCTCGTAAGTATCCCTGTTATTGAACCCTATTGCGGACAATGACCCATTTTACATTCTTATCTTAAAAGCAATACTCATATAATATGAATGTAAAGCTGACCACTATAGAGATGAGCTATTATTTAGAAAGTTTTACTCTGAAGTTAATTTCTATTGCCTATTGTTATTAAGGAGCTCTGGTAGCGTAGTGGTTACAAAATCGGGCTACAAACCTCAAGGTCAGCAGTTTGAAACTACCAGCTGTTCCGTGGGAGAAAGATGAGGCTTTCTGCTCCCGTAAAGATTTACAGCCTCAGAAGCCCTGTATAGGGTCGCTATGAGTCAGAACCGACTCAACGGCACTTAACAACAACAACATCATTGTTGTTATTAAGTATCACTGAGTGGATTACGACTCATAGCAACCCTGTATAGAGTTTCCAAGGAGCGCCTGTTGGGTTTGAATCACCAACTGTTCAGCTAGCAGTCTAGTGCTTTTCCTAAAGTGCCACATTAGGACTCCAAATTACCTTGTTGATGTTGTTGTTACGTGCAGTCGAGTTGATTCTGACTCATAGTGACCCTGTATAGAGTTTCTGAAGAGCAGCTGAAGAGAGATTCAAATCTCTGACCCTGTGGTTAGCAGTCCAGTGTTTACCCGATAGCACCACACCAGAAGTACCCAAATTACCTATTTATTTGAACCACGCAGGCAGGAAGTTTTTAAACTGGTCTTCTTGTTCTTTGTTTTAACTCATTTCAATGAGCACTTCTTCATTTTGAAGAATGCTATTGCTCCACGGAAGAAAGACGAGGCTTTCTGTTTCCTCAAAGATTTACAATCTCGAAACCCCTATATAGGGTCATTATAAGTCAGAACCAACTGTACAGAACTTAACAACAATTCTGAAGAAGTTTTATTTAGCAAAGGACTTTCCGCCCCCCCCCTTCCATTCTTTGTAGCAGATGCATTTTAATACAAGTCTTCAATATAATTTAAAATAACTTAATTCCAGCTTTAGTCACTGCTGATTTAGTTAAAAGCATAAAAGCCAAGTAACAACAGCTGATTGCCACGGCGAGGAATCCTACTAAGTGAAAGGGGAGCTGTTTAGTGATTCTGAATTGTAAAATTCAAGACTTATTATGTAAAAGGGAAATTCTGTCATTGAGAAGACAACAAGGCAGCACACAGGCAGTGCAGACAATTGCAGGTGAACCCTCACACCCTGAAAAGAGTGACTTTGAATTAGAGAAATTTTATAAACAGAAAAATATTTAGTTCTAGTATCTATATGAGAGAGGGTAATATAGAAAAATAGAAGTGAAAAAATACTGAGAATCAAATCTACCAAATCATGAAGATACAGAATCTTGGAAATAATAATCACTAAGTAAAGAAATTGTTAACAATTAAACTATATCATCTAAAATGTCAACGTCATGGAATTTCAGAGTTGGAAGAGTAATCAGACTTTTCAGTCCAACTTCATCATTTCACAAAGAAGAAACTGTGACTTAAAGTTACACAGTTAATTAATGGCAAGACTGTGATTAGAACTCTGGTTTTGTGCTTCTGTATCACTATGCAATTTAAAGTTTTAGGGCTGTATGCAAAGAAGAGTATGTTTCAAGTTAATAATAGCACAGATTTCATTTAAAAATATACAAAATTTCTGGAAGACATCAAAATATTATCAGTAGCTAATGCTTAGTGATGGAATTGCAGGTTATTTCTATTTTCTTATTTATTTTCTGAATTAATAAATTTCAGCAGTAAAAATAGTTGACTGTAATAAAAAGCAAACATTAAAAAGTATTATGACACAAGAAAAATGAAAGATTACTTACTTTCCTAATGTCATCTAAAGAAGTGATTTCAGGGGACATCCCACCATGTACACACAGAAACTGCTGATTTAAGAGGGCAGCAAGAGGAAGACAGTCAAATGTTTCCATGCATGCATCATACACTGCTTCAGAATATTTGATTCGACCTAACAAAAAAGAAACACAGTAAAAAAAAAAAAAGGAAAACTTAAAATCTATCATATGGAAAAGGTGGTAGTTTAAAGACTATGAAGCTATTTCAAAGAGCACTTATTTTGGGAGCGTCAACGAGATAGAGCACATTCAGGGTGGTAAGGCTGTAGATTATTTTGGGAACATTTGAAATCATCTTCACAAAGATGTTCTTTGAAAAGTTGTGGATTTCAAGAGCTACCAAAACTTTTCTTTTACTTTAAAGACAAATTTGACCTTGAATTAACTTTCTTGCTCTGTTCCTCTGGAAATCTTATGAAGGTGACTGTCAACAAAGTTTATGGTGAAAATGACTCAATTAGCACACTGAGTCATAAATATCAACACCTGGTGGGAAGCTATAGCTTTGGGCTTCTCTGAGTGAGGTGACTCATAATTGGGATGTTCCTGGCTGGGGATCTGGAAGCCATGCCAATTGAGCACTGGCACTTGTGATGCATGAGATATCTTAAAATTATACTGGCTTCCTAATCTGCCTGTGTGAATATTGTTTCCTTACCCCTAAGCTGTTTCTAGCAAGAATTATCCAGGAAGAATAGGTCATGGAATGATAGTGGGGGAAGGGGCTGGAAGATGGGCATTCCTTTAAACAGAAAGGGAAGGTTTTCCTCCCTTGGCTTTAGATTTCAAAAGTGAAGTCATGTGTGAGAATGAGTGTTGGCAGAAAAGGCCATAAGTCACAAAGACAAACAGGCCTACACAACTGTGAGCTTGTTCTTGTCCAAGATTTGTGAAGATGGGACAGAGTTTACAGAATTAAGAAACCATATCTAGTAAATTAGAGTATCATGCTGGTGATTATTTGTCTCCTAGCTTTTATTTTAGCTATCAGAGCCTGGCCTTTGCATGGCTATGGAGAATCAAGTGAAGGATAATGGGTCCAGATTTAGGTCAGAGAACAGTCCAGGGGTGGCAGGAATGAGGACAGAAAGATCCCCTAGGGGAATGTGTAAATCATGGACCACACTTGAGGTTATAAAGGCTCTTCCATCCCTGAATATGTGAAGATTCAATTCTCTGTTCTTTGCCAACATTGGGGAATCAGGATTTGAGTTCACTACGGGAGTCCATAGGTTCTTCAGAACCTGTCAAAGGATTTTGTAGTACCATGATAGCAGTTAAGATAACCTATTACACCAAAATCAATGACACATTGCATTAGGCAAATTTGCTGCATAAGGCCTCTTTAAAGTGTTGAAGAGCAAAGATACCAGTTTGAGGACTAAGGTGTGCCTGACCTAAGCCATGGTATTTTCAATAACTTCATATGCATGCGAAAGTTGGACAGTGAATAAGGAAGACCACAGAAGAATTGATGCATTTGAGGTACGGTGCTGGAGAATATTCAAAGTACCATGGACTTCAGAAAGAACAAATAAATCTGTGTTAGAAGTACAGCTAGAATGGCCAGATTTCATCTCTCACACTTTGGATATATTATCAGAAGGGACCAATCCCTGGAGAAGGACATCATGCTTGGTCAAGGAGAGAAAGACCCCCAAAGAGATGGATCTGTACAGTGGCAGCAGTAATGTGCTCAACTGTAGCAACAACTGTAAAGTTGGCTCAGGACTGGGCAGTGTTTCATTCTGTTGTGCATAAGGTCGCTATTGAGTCGCTACCAACTCAATGGTCCCTAACAACAACAACAATTATACCAAAAAAGTTGTTATAGAGTCAGTTCTGACTAGTGATGACCCCATGTGTCAGAGTAGAAGTGTGCTGCAAAGAGTTTTCAATGACTAATTTTTTGGAAGTAGAATACCAGATTTTTCTTCCAAGGAACCTCCAAGTGGACTTGCACCACCAGCCTGTTAGCAACTGAGTTTGTTAACTGTTTGCACTACCAGGAAACTCTTCATAGTTACCACCTCATATTTTGCCTTGTACTTAAACAGTACACATCTTAGCTATAATGTGGTTGGAAGAAAAAAAACAACACCACCTTCTTTCCATTTGCAGCTTTATGTTTTCCCCCTGATAATCTCCCTAGAATCAATGCCATGGAATTTCTTTTTTAAAAAGTCCTAAACTTACATTGAGTCCTGGTGTGGCGCTGTAGGATAAGCACTGGACTACCAACTGCAAGGTCAGTAGTTCAAACCTACAAGCCACTCTTTGGAAACCCTCTACAGTGTCAGAACTGACTTGATGGTACTTAGCAACAAACTTACATATAGGCAAGACTATGGATTGCTTATTAATTCACATCTATAACACCATTTAGGAGCTCTGGTAGCGTAGTGGTTACGAAGCAGGCTGCTAACCACAGGGTTAGCAGTTCAAAACTACCAGCGTTGCGCAGGAGAAACATGAGACTTTATGCTCCCATAAAGATTTACAGCCTTGGAAACCTTGTACAGGGTCACTATGAGTTGGAACAGACTCCACGGCACATAACAGCAACAACAACAACACCATTTAGAGTCCTGGTGTGGCACCAAAGGATAAGAACTCAATGTCAAGGTCAGTTTGAACCACAAGGTGGGCGTTCAAAACCACCAGCTGTTCTTCGGAAACCCTATATAGGGTCACTGAGTCGGAACTGATGACAGCACTTAACAAGAATAACACCATTTTACATTGATAAGATGCCTTTCAACTCTAAGAACAACAAAAAATCATTCCATAGCTTACTTTCAAAAAGATGACAAGAGAAGCAGTGATGCCAAAGATGGAGGCAGAGACGATGATGTGGAGAGATGGAGTGGCTGGGGACTTTGAACCCAGAGATGGAGAAGGGCTGTGTGCTGACGACCGGGGGGCAGGCTTGCGGGGTATACCCTTTGGTTGGTTGATGATGCATGGAGGGGATTGTAACCATGGCAAGGAAACGATATATGACAGGATGAATGTGAAGCTAATGTTCTCCTATGTAAACTATCATATAATTCACAATAAAGCATTAAGTAAAAAAAAAAAAAAAAGATAACAAGAGAAAGATGGCAAATAATACAGGAGGTCAAAAAAGGAAATTCATGTTATAGTAACATTACTAAAATAGGTCATAAAATGTTATTTTAATTTTTGGAGTTTATAGATATCCACAAAATTTTCTGAGATGCAAGATTGAAGATATTTATATTCCTCTTTTACTTGGTTTAGCTGTATTTCCTAAAAAAATTTTTATGAAAAACACATGTAAAAAAAACAAAAAACTTCACTATGAATTGAGTGAAGGTTTATAGACAAGATCATCTGTTTTACATTCAACAAATCATACAGTTTGTTTCATCTCAATGATTGCAACCCCCTCCATGCAACAAGTTTACCTGTGATTACCCATGTGCAATTATCCTCTCAAACAGTTATATAATTATGGGATATATATATATATACATATGTTCCAGTCTCCCTCCCAGACCTATTTAGCCTGCATCTCCGTGGTGATAGTATTTATCACTATTTACCTCTATCCACTTTAGCCCTTGCATACCTTGAACACCTCCCTGTGTCTTCACCATTTTTCTGCCATCCTCCCTCTTCTTGTATTTTGCCCTCCCCATTATCTGAGTTAACATGTGTCTACCCTCTAGCTAGTGAATTACTCTTCTCTCCCTCTCACCCCTGATAATCATCAAAGAATGTTTCTTTTAGCATGAAAACCTTTTTTTGAGTTTTTACAATAGTGGTCTCATATAATATTTGTCCTTTTGTAATTGACATATTTCAGCATAATGTACCCCAAATTCATGTTACTAGGTGTTTCCCAGATTGTTATTCTTCAACATTGCACAGTATTTCATTGTGTGTATACACAAATTTGTTTATCATTCTTCCAATGATGGGCATTTAACTCTATCTTTTTTGCTATTGTGAATAGTGCTGTGATACATATTGGTATGTATACATCTACTCATGTCCTGGCTCTTACTTCTTGTAGTTATATACCAAGTAGAAGTATTGGTAGGTCATACAGCATTTCTATGTAAAACTTTCTGAGGAAATGCCATACTGTTTTCCAGAATGGTTGAAACATTTTACAGTCCCACCAGCAATTAAAAAAAAAAAAAAAAAAAGATAGTCTGAAAAGAAGTAAATACTGTTGAATGATGATGCACAAAGGAGACTGTAATCATTGCAAAAAAATAATGAATGTAAAACCGATGTTCTCCCATGTAAACTATCACTCAATTCATAATAAAAACTTTTTAAAAAAGATGGCTTGTAGTATTTTGATATTTTCAGATTTACTGAGACTTGCTTTGTGGCCTAACATATGATCTATTCCAGAGAATGTTTCATGTGCACTGGAAAAGAATGTGTATTGTGCTGTTGTTGGGTTCAGTGCTCTGTTAAATCTATGAGGTCAAGTTGATTGATTTGTTGTTTAGTTCCTCTGTGTTTTTGTTCAGTTTCTTTCTGGTTGTACTGTCCTTTTCAAAATTAGTGTATAAAAATCTCCTACTATGATTGTAGAGTTGTCTATTTCTTTTCTTCAATCCTATTAGAGTTTGACTGATATATTTTGAGGCTCTTTTATTGAGAGCATAGAAATTTATTATGGTTATGTCCTCTTGTTTCACTTACCCTTTAATCATGAGATTAACATCCTTCTTTGTTTCTTATGCTGGTTTTTGCCTTGTTGCTGTTGGTAAGTGCCGTTAAATTGGTCCTGACTCATAGCAACCCTATATAGGGTTTCCAGGAGCAGTTTGGTGAATTTGATCCACTGACCTTGTGGTTCAAACTGACCTTATGGTTCCAGTGCTTTCGCACACAGCGCCACCTCAGGACTCCAGTTCTTGCCTTAAAGTCTATTTTATCAGAAATTAATATTGCCACTCCTGCTTGTTTTCAATATATTTTTTCCATTCTTTTTTAATCTATGTTTGTCTTTGTGTGTAAAGTGTTGCCTCTTGTAGACAGCATATTGAAGTATCCTGTTTTCTTATCCATTCTGATATTCTGTCTTTTAACTGTTGCATTTAATCCAATGATATTCAGAGTAATT